ACATTTTTTACTGGTCTGTAGAGAGACAAGAGGCAAAGAATAAGATTTCCAGCTCCTAACGAACTGATTGTTAAGACTAAGACAAGCGTCTGCTAAAGGCAGTGCCCTGCTTCACGTGTGTTAGGCGCTGTTTCCTCCAAGTGCTCCCCAGAGCCCATCAGAGAGACAGCTGCGAGGCAGCACAGACGGGACCCCGGGGCTCACCGGCACGGCCCTGTTGCGTGCAGGCACAGGTCTTTCCCTTCTAGCAGGTCAGGAAGCAAGCCCTCCCCGGCAGCCCCTGGGCATCAAGGGGCCCCATAAGGTCATTTAATATAATCTGAAATTTTAAAATCCATTTTGATCTTTGTTAGAGGTAGTCCCTTGTTGATCTTACAAGATTCTAAAGGACCCTCCCCTTTAGGCCCTGGACGGAAGCCTGGAGCTGTGGATGTGTGCCCTTCAAATGAGTAGGTGTCAGCTCCAGGTCACTCCCCAAAGCTCTCCTGAGAGGAAACAACGAGAGTGATGATAAACAATAATCAGGTAGGCACACCCGTTATTGGGAGAAACTACTCAGGTGCCCTCTGCCCTTTATCTTTCTGGAAAATTACTGACCCATCTCAAAGTACAAGACATCGCCTAGAAACCTGGCCCAGATAATTCCCATAAGCGAAATGAGGAAGAGTTTCTGCAGAGCACACTGGGGTAGAGCAGTGCCAAGAGGCCGGCTGCAGAAGCCTGGTGACAGCTGCTGAGATGGGGGGGGGGGTCCACATTGTGACTGCAGAGAGAGGAGAGCAGGACCCAGAGGAAAAGTATCGCTAAGGGTCTAACTGCAAAGGAGCCTACAAGTCTGTCCTAAGCCGTGACCAAAAAACAGACGGCACTGAGGATCTACCTGAGCGGGACACGAGGGGCTGACCTCTACTCTCACAAGCAGTAGTTCCATGAGTATGTGAAGGAGAGCAACTGGAGGGGAGGAATTTGCAGGGACCCCCTAGGGGGTTCCAGGGGAGGCAAGCTGGTGCGGGGGTGGGAGCCCTAAGAGCCAACAACCCTGTGACCCGCACAACCCTGTGGCACTGGGCGAGGGGTGTGGTGAGGCAAGAAGGGCCTATGACTACAGAAAAGAAAGAAACCGAGGGAGGCTTTGGCAGCTCTGACCGGCTCCACCCAAGTTTGTAAGGCCAACAAGCCAAGGGCTAGGGGTTGGGTAGCCTAGACCGTATCTGTCCATTGAGTCATTCAGCTCCCTCTTCCTGATGAGACACAAAACCTCAGAGACCCTGAAAATCAAGAGATGCCCCTCAGGAAACTCCCTACTGTTCCCATACTAAGAACTGTACCATCAGAGGTCTGATGAGATGTGCCCTCTGAGAGTGAGGGGCTGGTCAGCCAGGCTGTCAAGAAGAGGGCAGTCAGTCCTCCCTGGAGAAGCAAACCACCTGCCCCAAATGTTTCTATCACCATGCTCCATTTACTTTCAGCATCAGCTCAGCTGGGCAGGCCAGCTGATCAGCTGCAACTAAAATTGAGCAGGTATCCCTCAGTCTCTGCCTGACATGGAAAATTCTGGTCTCATTAGGTCTTGTGCCACTGACTTCCCTGCCCTCAGGAAAGGGATTCATCCACAATGCCAATACATTTAATATCTCCTGCTAATGGCAAAACAGAAAGCATAGGGTGTTTGGCCCGAGCTGCCAGACTTCAGTATGGCTGAAGTATGGCTAGTTTGGTTCAAAAAGGAGCTAAGAATTCTTTTAATGAAACAAGTTCATCATAATAAACCACTTGAATGTTGTTATTTCCTCTTAGAATCATTACCGTAGACCCTTTAAGTAATAAAATGACAACAGACACAGACCAATTATCCTGGCCAGGCTTCAGTAGTAGTCTGAGGCCCATTTTATTGGAAAACTGTCTCTTCCAGAATTCTGTACATTCAATCAAACCTTTATAGGGCCTTCGGTACTAGCGCTCTCACCTGAGACAAAGAACCATATGTGGTCAGTGACCATAAGAAGCAGGGCCATGGAGTATATTCTGTATTGAGCATGCCTTACCAATTTCGTCAAGCAGCTCCTGAGATGGTGGTGGTAGCTCATCAATGTGATGTTGCGAGATGGTTTCTACTAGTTCTTAAAAAGATAAAGGAGAAAGTGACTTACTGCCTTCCTAGACCTGAACTAGGTTTTCGAGGCTTCGACGTGGATTTGACTTAGGATTTCTCAATGATGCAACAAGCTAAGATGGGGAGAAAACCTCTTATATTAACGGTCCTAATTGAGACTTCATGTGTGAAAGGCTTTACTCTCCCTTTCACTCTAAACCTCTTCCTACATCACACGTCACCTCAGTACCACTTGATCTGTGCCCCTCCCCAAGGATATTTGAGGTAGGTGAGATATAAAATTCTTACTAAGAGGCTGGGGGTCCAATTTGGACCAAGACTGCTGGAGGGATATAGAAGCTCTAGACCCGTCAAAATGGAAAAATGTGGGAGGCCTTTCTCTATAGATTATCAGGCCAGGGCATATGGGAGACCATACTTTGGGCCTTCACGTAAGGGCTCAATTTTAACATTAACCAAAACCCCTCAGCATAGTTCACAATATCTCTATCCCCCTGAGGGAAATTCTAAGAGTTGTACCAAAGACACAAGACAATAAGATTAATGGAGCAAAGGCAATTACACCTCAAGAGCTGTTAACGCTCTCATACCCTTTGATCTGGAAACTGTCTTCTAAGACTCTATCCTAAGGAAAAGATCAGAGGTTCAGATAAAGATTTCTGTACAAAGAGCAAAAGTTGGAAAACAACATAAATCTTCAACATAAGGGCATGGTTAAGCAACATAAGTAGAATGGACTACTATGCAGCCATCACATATATTTATGAATAATTTTTACTGACAAGTAGAAATCCTAAAATATATCATTAAAGAAAAAGAAGCAGGCCAGAGCTGATACACTATATGATCTCAACTATGCTAAAAAAAAGAATATATATATATATATATATATATATATATATATATATATACACATATATATATATTTGGGGGTATATTTCTAAAGATATAAAAAAGATATGCACCAAAATACTACGAGAGGTTAAAAAATGATGGTAGAGGGACTTCCCTGGCAGTCCAGTGGTTAAGACTTCGCCTTCTAATGCAGGGGGTGCAGGTTCAATCCCTGGTTGGGGAGCTAAGATCCCACATGCCTCGGGGCCAAAAAACCAAAACATAAAACAGAAGCCATATTGTAACAAATTCAGTAAAGACTTTAAAAATGGTCCACATCAAAAAAAAAACTTAAAAAAAAATAATGGTAGAATGGTCGTGGTTTTCTCTTTTAAGCTCGTCTGTATCCTCTAAGTTTTCTATAATGAGTATGTTTTACTTTTTTTTTTTTTTTTTTTTTTTTTTTTTTAATGTAGGCTACAATAAACCTTCTCAGGTTAAGTTTAAGTTTAAAGTCACCTGGGGGAGATTTGCTGGCAAGGGGGCTACTTGACTC